TCTCAAGACCTCTTGCAAATTTCCAAATCAGTAGGAAATCATCTCATTCAAAGATGAGCAATAATTTAAAAGAAATTGGTATACCAAGTTGACGAGAGAGAGAGAATACTCATGAGAAAATGGCTGCCATAGAGCAAATGATAAATATAACCAAATATATCATCTCAAAATTTAAAAATTACAAACTGAAGCCATCATCTCTCTAAGAGATCAAAGCAGAGATATAAGAGGGCCAGGAAAACTGGGCAAAGCAAGGCAATAGTAGCAGTGAAACATAAGCTTGTAGAGCCCAGAAAAGAAGTGGAAGAGGGAAAAAAAGTCCCTCCCCCGCCACATGGGGAAAATACTGCTGAGTGTCTGGCTATGTGCTACTCTCTGTGTGGACCATGTTGTGTCCCCTAACCACATTAAAGGACAGTTGGATCTCTAGCTGTACATGTTGGTGTCTATTATTAGTCATCACCATCTTTATGAGATGAGAACTACAAGGAAGCATGGAAACAAATGAATAATGCACCCAATTCAAGTCATAAACAGAAAAAAAACCTCTAAGAAGAACACAATAAAGTTAATCAAATTAAAAGCAAAAATTTATTTTAAAAAATCAGAGTGGAACTAATAAGTAAATGCAAGAGTCAGTTCTTTGGGGGAAAATACTGAATAAAAACAAACCATTACCAATATAATCAGAGTGAAAAAACCATAAATACACCAAATATGGAACAATATTGAGGATATAATTCTAGAAACCTAGAATATAAAAATAATTAAACAAGAGATTACTTAATTGTATGCAAATACATATGAAAACCAGGATAAAACAATTTTTTCCCCGAGAGAATACAAATGATAAAAATGGCCTCTAGAGGGTTCAGCAATCCTACTTCTGAGTATATATCCAAACTAAATGAAATTGGTATCTTGAAAAAATCTATTCACTCCCATGTCATTGTAGCATTATTCATAATAGTCAAGATATGGAAACAACCTAAGTGTTTGTCAGATGAATGGATTAAAAAAAAAAAAGAAGTAAAACTCATAGGAACACAGAGGAGAATGTGGCTGCCTGGGGCTGGGGAAGGAGAGAAATAGAGAGATAGAGAGATGTAGGTCTAAGGATAAGGTGAATAAATTCTGGGGATTTAATATACAGCATGGCGACTATAGTTAATGATACTATTTTGTAATATTCTTTAAATTTGCTGAGAAAGCCGATGTCAAGTATTCTCACCACACACGCACACACACACAAATGGTAACTATGGGAGGTAATGGATATGCCAATCAACTCGATGGTGGTAATCATTTCAATATGATTCATACATATATATGTATATGTAAAATCACCACATTGCACATTTTAAATATATGCAATCTTGTCAATTTTACATCAATAAAGCTGAAAAAAGGAACTCAGAAGAAATATCTAAAGATATGATAAGGCAGAAATGTAACTACCTGAGCTGAGAGTCAAGAATTACAGACATCACAAGACCCTCACTGTCTATGAGAATGACAGAGTCCAGGCACCAACAAATCTCCTCTTGTATTGACTGACCTTTGCTAAATCCAAGGAAAGCAACCCTAAGGTTTTCTCAGAGTTAGAAGGAGGGATCAATAAGACAAGGGGGGCAAAAGCATATGATTTTGATAAGGCAGAAGGGCATGAATATAGAGCATGGGGACTGGAAGAAGCTGACCCAGAGGCTGACTAGAAAAAGTTTGCATCCTAGCTACACTCTAGAATCGAGAGTCATCATTATGAGACTTCCTTGAACACACTCCTTCTTTCTCTACCAGCTTTGATTACTCCATCCTTTCCCCCTTTTCATTGGCTACGTAATGCTTTGCACTGTTGGTTGGTTAATTGCCTGGCCCTTCAGCTGGGTAACCTCTTCCATGAGAACAAGGGCCACATCTCCTTTGCCCAACATTGTATGCCCCCTATACTGACCTTACGCTGTGCCAGCCATGAATGGGGCAGGCTTGACATTTTGGACAAAAGCAGGTAACAATAAGGAATGTAGCTGCAGAGATACAGGAATCAATGGAGGTGCAACATCCTATTGGAAATGGGGCAACTAATGTAGACTTACAGGTGCAGTGAGAACGTGCAATCTTTCTAGGAAATGGTAGAGCAGCTGAGAGGCCAGAGGGACAGGTGGGAGAGACAATCTACGTCTCACAACATGATAGTTAACTGGGGAAAAAGGACAGTTCCATGCCTTGCTTTAGAAAAGTTAATCCAGTGGTCGGCAAACAGCTGCTCGGCAAACCGTGGCTCGCGAGCCACATGCGGCTCTTTGGCCCCTTGAGTGTGGCTCTTCCACAAAATACCGACTTCTGAGCATGGGCCGTGAAGTTTCAATCGCACTGTACACGCGCGCCCGCACGCGGTTTGCCGACCACGGGTTAACCCAATATCAGAAGTAAAAGGGGAAAAAAACCACAGACTTTGAGTTCTTGGTAAAGAGTAAGCTCAAAATGAGTGACAGATGGGATATGACCATCAAAATTCTTAAATCGAGAGAGGCTGCACTGATAGGTTCTACAGTCTTCGGCGATAAAGGTGAAAGCCTTGGACTGCTCCGGGCTGTCATGATTGTCTGACTTCCTTCCTGAGTGCTACACTTTAATAAGGATGGAGTTAAATTTGAACATGTTCAGAAGAGAGGCCCCAGGATGATAAAGATACTCAAAAGTAAGCTGCGCAAGGAACAGTTGGAGGAACTGGGGCTATTTTGCTTAGAGAAGGAAAGACTGGAAGGAGGCATGATAACGGGCTTTGAGAATCTGAAGGGCTGTCAGCTGCAAGAGGCTTGTCTAGTTCCGAATGACCTCGAGGGCAGAACTAGCACTGATCGGATTTTCGCTCAGTGCAGCTGAAGACTCGGCGACAGAGCTACGTTCGTGGAGAAGGGAGAGCAGTGAGGGAGCCCCTGTCTCTGGGGTGCTCCGGCCCCAGCCCAGGCAGTGTGGTTCCGCAGCGAGGCTGGCCTTGCACCCAGGCTGCACTCGATGTCAGAGAGCTGACTTCTACATTCTCTCCCAACACTGAAATCCGGTGAGCAACGAGCCTTTTGACTTCTCTGTTCGTGATGGGAATCACTTGAGATTAATTTTGTGAAAGTGGTTTGTAAACACTAAAGTGCTTTATAGATACAAGGTCTTGTGACTATTTTCTCATCACCTTGTAAGACTTCAATTCTGTTCTGATTGCCACTTTCTCTACTTATCTCTAATTTCTCTTCAACCTCATAAAGATTTCTAATTGATAAATGCCAAATGTAATAGTATTGTGACTACTATTCCCTGTCTAGGATTTCAAATGTTCAAAGTGCTTTGTAAATAATAAATGATTCTTCATTTTTCACTGATGAGGCGAAGGCCCTCTATTGAGTATGCTGCTCATGGTGCTGATCCTGCAGTGTAAAGGGACGGGGTAGCTGAATTATTACACACCCACCTTGTGGGGTGGAATTCATTAAAGTCAGTAGCATGCTCACAACATGTGGTGTAACAAAATAGTCTCCACAGTAATAAGCGATCAGCAAACAAACACAGTAATAAATCAACCTCAGAGTCCACACTGACACAACTTGGCTTCTGCTCTCTGTCAGAGTGACCTCTGGTGGCCCACGAACTCTCAGACAATGAGAACACCAGTTTTGGTGGCATAGCTTACTTGTTACAAAGCATTACGACTTAGAAAAATTAACTGCCAGACACATAAATTCCCAAATCTATTTTGGGGTGTTCAAAATTTTTTTCCCACCAAACTCTAATATCATCTCTAATAAGCAATGACTTGAGAGCTCTAAAATATTTATTTTCCTTTTTCTCCAAGGGACTTAGCAGAGAGTGACACAGGCAAAGGCAAGTGGGGAGAAGAAAACCAGGGAGAAAGCAAACTGGATGTAAGTGCTCTTAAAAGGTTAACCAAATTACACAGCAACCCTCACACCCAAACGTGTGTTCTCAAAACTGTTCATCTATTTCATCCTCTGGCTGACGGACACCCAGAGCAGAAAGGGGATTCGGAGCTGAAGTTTATACAAGGCAGCGCAGAGAAGGTAAGCCTCAGATAAGGTGAAGTACAAAGAATTTTTGGATACACTTCTCTTTTGATGCTATGTACCATTGGGAGGGAAACAGATTTTTTTAAAAAAAATATATTTTATTGATTTTTTATAGAGAGGAAGGGAGAGGGATAGAGAGATAGAAACATTGATGAGAGAGAAACATCAATCAGCTGCCTGCTGCATACCTCCTACTGGGGATGTGCCCGCAACCAAGGTACATGCCCTTGACTGGAATCGAACCCGGGACCCTTCAGTCTGCAGGCCGATGCTCTATCCACTGAGCCAAACTGGTTAGGGCCAGATTTTTAAAAGAAGCTTTTTAGTTCATATTCTATATTCAGTCTAACACATTCTGTGTTTACTTTCTGTTCGTGAGTTTTAACTTTTAATGTAGGTTATACTTGTTCACATGATGATGTCTGCGAAGAGAACTCTATTAAATATTTTCATATGTTATAATTACAACTCTCTAATAATGAGTATTTGGGGAAACCCCTACAAGTTGTTTTTAAAAGTCAGAGGAGGCAGGAATAAATAGATCATTGGCTAATCTCTCATGCTCCTTGTCAGCACCCCAATCCATCTTTGCCGACAAGGTAAGACCATGGGGCTATCTTCAGTGAACCGTTCTGTTGCAGGGTTACCCTCATAATTAACTGATGCAGGAAGGACACGCTCCGGATGGAAGACTTGAACCTCGGCGGGTCTAATGGGGGGCCTGCTAGTGTTTGATAAATGTTCATGATTTATCAGCATTAAGGAGGAGGAAATGCGGGGACACTATAGCCATGTGTTCAATACGGTCACATTGACGCAGACATAAGTGAAAGGTGTTCTTTTCGTGGGGCAGAAGGTGGACCCTTGAGAAACATGGGCTTCAGCAATGACACTGCCTCTTTCCTCAGGCCCAGGACATACCTTGACTCCCGTAGCTGGCGTCGATTCCAGAGCCATCCCACGAGTCCACAGCACTGTCCACACTGGGCACAGTGGACGGGTACATGTCGGAGAGTTTGCCCGGCTTCTGTGCTGGCGAGGAGTCCTCCTCCATGTCTCCCAGGTCACCCAAGTGGCTGGGAGTGGGGAATTTCTTGGGACTTGACGCTGACTGAGCTTTAAAGACAGGAAAGAAGTTTAAGCATCAGCGTAAATTTAAAAGCATTTTTATTGCTTTTTTAAAATATTTTTATTGATTTCACAGAGAGGAAGGGAGAGGGAGAGAGATATAGAAACATCAACGGTGAGAATCATCAATCGGTTGACTCCTATACGCCCCCTACTGGGGATTGAGCCCACAATCTGGGCATGTGCTCTGATCAGGAATCCAACCAGCAACCGTTTGGTGCATGGACGACACCCAATCAACTGAGCTACACCAGCCGGGGCCATGTAAATTTAAATAAAAAGATAAACGTTCCCTGGCTAGAGAGTCATTTTCCTAGAAATGCACACAGAGACATTTGCCCATTCTTTTTGGGAAGGAAATGCACTGGAAATTCTTAACTGTGGCTCTCAACCCACTCACCATCTGTCTGTTTCTTAATTTTCAAGGTGACAGTCTCTCCCGCCATTTGTAGCAAGTGGATGGCCTCACTCAGGGGCTTCCCTTTCAAGCTGCTGCTGTTGATGGCCAGGATCCGGTCTCCGATGTGGATCGCGCCGGTTCTGGAACACCCAGGAGCAACAGGAAAATAGAAATAATCCCTGTGTGCTACTCAATATAGATTCCCGGCCATACTTTATATATTCATAATAATAAAGACTTGGCAAGGGTCTCTAGAAACCACGTCTAGCTTTCTCCCGGGCAACGTTACAAGACAACTGCATCTGTTGTGAATTACTTTTTAGTTTCGAATAAAATTAGAAAAATTGTTTTAATTAGTAGTTAAAGTGAACTTGTATGCTTTTTAATTCCAAGAAAGCAGAGTTATTTGGTAACCCTCTTAAAAATCCCAAGGAAACGAACAAGATTGGACAATGAATGTAGCGATGTTTAGCACGGGGCATTCCTTCTTCCTACAGATTTAAAAATGTTGAACATACTCATTCTCCCAGCTCACCAGAAGTGAGGTTTAGAGAGATGGGGACACACCCCGGACGCTGGTGTGGCTGGGCCCCCTGCTGGTGATTCAAAGGAAACGAAAAAGGCTGATCTCGGCAATCAATTGCTGTACAGTCATGCACCGCATAACAATGGAAACACCTCCTGGAAAATGTGTCGTTAGGCGATTTCCTTGTCTTGGGAACATCATAGAGTGTACCTAACATGAACCTAGATGGTGTAGCCTACCACACACCTAGGCTGTATGGTACAGCCTATTGCTCCAGACTACAGCCTTGCACAGCATGTTACTGTACAAAACAACTCGACATCAAATCAAGGCCAAGAGAAAATGATGCAACCAAGAGACTCAGTGAATACGAGATGTATGAGGATGCTGCCAGCATAACTCAATGTACTGTTTTACAACAAACATTTTTATATAAGTAGAAAAAGTACACTCTAAAATAACAACAAAAAGCATAGTATACTAAACACATAAACCGGTAGCACAGTCAGTAATAATCAAGTATTATGTACTGTGCATAACTGTATGTGCTATACTTTCATAAGGTTGGCTGTGCAGATTTGTTTACACCAGTGTCATCACAAACACGTGAGCAATGCGTTGTGATATCACATTTGGACAGCTATGATGTCGTTGGGTGTAGGAACTTTTCAGCTCTGTCATAATCATATGAGACCACTGTGTACGTGTGGTCATCGTTATGTAGCACATGACTGTGGGACTAGGTTTGAATCCAACTCTGCCACCACCAGCTGTGGGACCTCGGGACCCTATGTTAATCTCTGGGTGTCAGTTTCCTCATCACTACATGGGGGCAATCATCTTACTGGGAAGCCCTGAAGATTAAATAGGAAGCTGTATGTATAGGGTGCGGCACACTATTTGAAACGTGGAAATAAAAAATTAATTTATTGATCAATAAACTAATAAACCGATGGCCTTTCTTCTTCCCATGCTCACCCAGTTCTGAACGCGCAGGTTGGAATGTACAGTCCTCATGCTCAGCATATCTATCTTTGCTGGGGAGCACTGGGTGGGGAAGGAGTAGACCCACAGCAGGAAGCTCAGGGATAGTGGAAAACCCAGATCTCTCTGTGCTGAAGGCTGCGGAGAGGGAATCCATGCGCTGGCCTCCTGTGCCCTGCTCACTAACTGCAGCGAGGGAAGGGGTCAGCCCAGTGCCCAGGGCTGCTTGTGACTGAGCGCTCTGACCACAGCTGGCTCTGGGGCAGTGGGCAGCTGTGCTGGGAAGCAGAGGAGACACTGGATCGTGCAGGTTAGCGGGGGGGGGGGGGGGGGGGGTAAGGGGGCGCTGCTTAACAAGTCCACCAATGCATCAACTCTCAAAGAATTCTTCCCCCTGAAAAAAAAAATCACTTCATTCTCTCATGAGGAATCTCCAGATTATGAAAGATCTGTGTTGTAAGCCATACAACACTTGACCAGTAGCTTGCTAAAGCAGAGAAACAGTAATCTTTTCTCGTGTGCTCCCTAACAGAGATACCTAGAACAGGGGGACGCCTGAAGAATACCATGTTACAGGTGTCTCTGTTAATATCAGGTTATGAAATTCTAACAGGGTGATCCGTTTGAGCGGCCTCAGGGCCCTCGCCTGACAGATGAAAATGTTGGCTGAGATGATTTCTAAGGTTCCTCGCAGCTCCACAGCTCTGCAACGCTACGTCTCTATTCTGTTGTCCTCCAGTGTCAGCATGAATGATGTGCGTGCGTTCCTGAGCCGGGTTACAGGAGGCCAGGACTGGCTGTGATGCCTGGACCATCCCCCACAACAGGTCTCAGGAAGATGCAGTTTAGCAGGGGGCTGGGATGTGTGCTCATGAAAACAAATTGCCAAGGGAACATTCCAAATTGCAAGATATCATTAAGATGCTGCACTTTGCTTCCCGAAATCTTTGAGGATACAGCCTGTGCCATCCTCTCCTGAAAAACAGCAGCTGAGGCCATGCCTGTCCGGGGAGAGGCTCAGCGGACGTTTGCTGAATTGAACTGGACAAGCCTCTTAACCTCCCTGAACTTCAGCCTCCTTCTCTCAAAATGGACAGGCTATAAATCTACCTCCAGTCAATTGTGGTCCGTTTATACATTTCTAGAGACTAATATCAATGCTCAGCCCCTGGCACCTTTCACCGCCAGTAAGATGCCCCTCAGAGTCAGGTCGGAGCAATGCCCAAGAGCTCTCAAAGCTCTACAGTCGATCTGGGAACAAACCCACAGAAAACCCACACAGGGGAGGGGAGCACGTGTGTATGCGGCTGTGAGGAAGGAAACCCATCTCGGACCCAGGTAACTGGAGCAGTGTCTTCAAATTGTACCTTTCAGCTAATCCCCCTTTAGTGAGGCTTGAAATGATTATAGGATCGAATGGCTCTTCAGTTCCTGAAATCGTGATGCCGAGGGGCCCCCCGTAGCGCTTCAGTTCCACAGTGTAAATAATTGCCCCGGAACTTTCTTGCTCATCTGCAATAAATGGCAAGGAGTCATAATTGGTTTCTTTGAAAAAAAAAAAAAAAAAGCAAAGTAATAAGACAAATATATTCAGACATAAAACAAGAAATTCAGAACATCGGCACCAGCACATTATGTCGAAGAAAATAATTATTTGGAGAAGTAGCATTTCCTTCATAGGATATCACATTCTAACAGAGAACATCCTAATGACTTATGCTTTAAACCTGAAGAGAGCCACCAGGTGCCCTGCAGGCCCTGCACGCATGCCCATGCCTTGCATGGTGCTGGCCCAGCATTTTGTGAGTGTGCCATCGATACCAGCGGAAGGAACACACGGCTGAGGAGGCAATTAGGGAGGAGAGAGTCATGCAGTGACAAAGAGATCAGGCCACGCAATTCCTATTTTCAGGCTTTACAGCCAGCTAACTTTCAACACAGAAAAGTCGACTTTACTCAGGGTTGGAGCAAGCTTTAACTTATGTGCATGGTTAAGTGGGGCTTGGAGAGGTTGGTTGGCCTGGAAATCTAGAATCCCTTACATATCATCCCACCGACTGTGTCTTCCAATGTACATCCTGTTGATGAACTCGTGGATTTGAAAACAGGTTTGAATGATTACCTCTCCTCAGTTTTTGAATCAAAAGCTGTGTTAGGTTATGTTTCGGTAGCATACACCCGGGTGTCACACTGTCATACATTTATTTTGGCTGCTTTACATTAGCACAAGGGAAGACATCTGTGAACGGGTCTGCCTAAAGCCTCGGTCTGAAAGACGTCTTGAGGTGCCTTCAGCATCAGTGGGTGTTTTGACTGTGTCAGGCTTGCAAATACAAAACCTGTTTCGTATTTGCTGGTGGCATGGTAAAGATTTTGAGCATTTCTTGTTTTATTCCTTGGGCCTCAGGGGGCTGTGCCTGGTTAAGGAGCTATTTCATTTCTGTACCCAAGGACGCAATGAAATGGTCTGGAAGCTACTTTAACAAAACAGTCAGCTTTTACAGTCAGACTGTGTCATGGCGAAGCATTAACGCAGTCACACATCTACCTATCCGTCTGTATCTATCCATGGATATGAAAATCAGGCAAAATGGAAACATTAAGTGAATATTTAATGATATTAAAATTTTTTGCCAATATTTTAAACTGTGATATTTAATTATATATCTTAGAAGTCTTAAATTAGGGCGGGAGTATAGACCAGCAAGATTGATCATAAGTTACCACCTGTTAATGCTAGGTGACGTATGATGGTTTATGACACCATTTTTCTCTATTTTTAAATATTTGAAGTTTATATAATAACATTTAAAATGTAATAAAATGTTATTTTATTAAATGATATTTAATACATTTGTAATAATATTTAATTTAATAAAAACATTAATTCCCTCAGAAAACTCTGTGATGCCTTGAGTAAACTGACATTAATTAGTTTGGTTTGCTCATCTTCATATACTGTGGTGGAGGCCCATTTGCCCACCAGGCGAGGTCCCAGCGCATCCCACTGCCACCTGCACTAGAGGAGGCAGACATCTCAGCTCTGCCCCGGGTTTCATAACAGTGGTTTCTTCCACATGTTTTCCTGATAGGGATCCAGCCTTTGTCCCTCTCCCTTGCATTGATTTTCACCGGTGCTGCCAGCCTATAATTCCCTTTCCGTTCTTCCTGGAATATTTCAAAGGCATAAATCTGAATGTCACTCTCTTACTTGATGCTTTTCATTGGTTCCCCAATTCCTTAAGAATAAAATACAACCCCTTTCTGTGCGCGAGCTGAGCTGGGGCCGCCATGTCTCCAGAGGGCCACCCCCTTCCCATTCCAGCCCAGCCTCCTACATTCTTCCTCACCTAGTTTCTGTAAAAGCACTTCCCTGACGTCTTTAACCTTGCACATGCCACTCACTGGGCACAAACACCTTTCTCTCCTGGAGAACTCCTACTGGGGCCTCAGCACTGGGCGCAGATGTCTTGTCTTTCAGGAGGGCTTCCCGGCTCCCCCGCAGGAGCTCCAGGCCTTTCCTGGGAGAGCCCGCACTCCTGTGCATTCTTCTAGTGCTTCTCACCTTTTAATTTTAATTCTTGCCTCGGCCCCGCGATGAGGAGAGAAATTAAATTAAAATTCTTCCTAACGAGAGAAATAGGAAGGGCTAAGATTCACTCAGGTAGGGCTGAGCTGTGGAGGGCCACTCACCACTGTGATGTAACATCTCCGGTTCCTAACTCTCTGAGATGAGAACCAATTTTTGCCCCCACCCACTGAGAAGGCACGCGCTCTAGCCAGTCCTGTTCACTAGATGCTTAATTATCTCTCTCCTTGTCTCTTCCATTAGAATAAGATCACCTTGAAAACAAGATTTTCATCTTCGTATCCCCAGAGCCTAGATCTAGGACCCCAAGGCTGCTGCAGTAGATGCCTGAACAGGTGAGTGAAGATGAATGAATGTTCACGTCACCAGCTCCGAGGGAAGAGAGCTCTGGGAGCCACCCTCCCAGCTATTCCAAGGCCTAGTTTCCTTTTCCAAAGTGATGTAAATCCAACCTGGCTCCTGCCAAGTGTGAGGGTAAGACCGGGGCTGCCTCTGTGGGAACAGCAGACCTGGAGCATCCTCCCCTCACAGTCCCGAGAATGGCTGCGCCAGCTCCAGGCTGCACGTCCAGGCCCATCTGCCGCCTAGGGCTGGAGCTCAACTGGCACGTGCACGGCTCTGCAGTTGAGGAGCTGGCAGGAATGCCCGTGATGCTCAGGCCATTTTGGAGGTGGAAGCCCTCCAAGTCACTCTCTCCTCCAGGCTGCTCCAGCGTAGAAAGCAGCAACTGGAGGGTTTAAGGAACAGAAACTTTCTGAAAAGGAAAAATGCAGGATCACCAGTAAGTTGCTACGGGAGCCTAACCAGATGTTAATGATATTATAAGCAGCTTTTACATCACAACAGAAGGCTTACAACTATTAGTGAAAGACATGACAGGGGGCCAGTCTCCTTGTTTGTTCTGCTTGGCTCTAGTTAAGAAAATGAATGGGACCACGGAACAGATGCGGAATTGCAGCATTAATTATCAGCAACGTTGTTTTTGGGCTTCTCAAGTGCCTCCTGTTTAACAGAATGAGCGCTCTCTGGCGTGAATCCATAACGGCAGCTGCTCCTGTGGCCGAATAGGAGGCTTGGATTTGGGGGAGAGCCTTCGGAATGCCTAACTGTACAGGTCAATCAGAGTTCATTTTAAACTAAAAGTGATGGGATGCATTTCAGAGTATGGCCACCTTTCTTGGAGGGGGACAGCTTGAGTAAATGAACCATTTAGAACAGCTTCCTTACTGTGGTGTGGTCTCTGCAGACCCCTAGAAATGATTGGAGACAGATTTGGAAGCCTCCATTAACCTCTTCCTACAGTTCCTCCAAATTCTATGCTGTTTTGCTTCAAGGTTCCTTCTCAGATCACCAAACTCTTGCATCTGCGTTTCTAGTGAATCTAGATGCAACCAAGGCAAAGCAATAGATTTTATTTCAAGAGGGTTATTTGCATCTTTGGGGACCTGGGGATTGGGTAACAGCCATTGTTTTGGTGCCCGGGACCCAGGCAGGAACGGTTTGGCTCTACTTAATTTATGTTTCTGTGGTAATGAAAGAAAACAAGTGCAAAGGCTCCTGAAGGCAGAATGGTCTTGAATATAGAGGGAAGGAAATGTCTATAATCAAGTGTTCCAAAGATTGAGCCATTGTAAAATGAAGCTAAAATTAGCGTTAGTAACACCCTAATAATGACTGTTGATCATTAGCATTCATTGGGCCTTATTAAGTGCCAAACATTATTGCTGAGCACTTCAATTTATTACCTCCTTTGATCCTAAGACAGCCAGACGAAGTAGGCAGTAAATGGACATTTACAGATGAGGAAACTGATGCTCAGAGAAGTTAATTTCCCATTTCCCAATGTGTCAGTTGGGAAGCCAATCTAGTGTTTTGTTTTTTTTAATTTTATTGATTTTTTACAGAGAGGAAGGGAGAGGGATAGAGAGTTAGAAACATCGATGAGAGAGAAACATCGATCAGCTGCCTCCTGCACACTCCCTACTGGGGATGTGCCTGCAGCCAAGGTACATGCCCTTGACCGGAATCGAACCTGGGACCCTCCAGTCCCCAGGCAGATGCTCTATCCAGTGAGCCAAACCAGCTAGGGTCAATCTAGTGTTCTTAATCATTTTCTTCTTCAGCTTCTCCCAGAAAGGACTAGAAACAGTTAATTTAGACGCTCTCAAATGTCTCATTCAATATTCTAGTAAATGATTGCAACTGGTGGTCACTGACCAAACACTATGGCCTCACTCTCCTGCGATAAGCCCTCCGCACTGGCTTCTGGGGTAAGTTCAAATGTCTTAACATGGTTAAGAAGGACCATGATGATTGGCTTTAGGAGAGCTTTCTTCTCTCCTACTGCCGAGTCCTTACGCATCGTTTTTGCTTCAGCCACGTCTGGTACTAAGATGTGCCATGCTCTCTGGCCTCCTGCTTGGTTCATACTCTTCCTCTGGTTGATTCTAACAATACCTCCCAGACAATGTCAAGACAGAGATTGTTCGAAGCATTCCTTGAGCTCTCCAGGCATCAGGGCTGCCTGTACATTCTGCTAACATTTTCTGCACACCCTTAGAACATGCATCATGTTTCTCTTATAAGGCGGTGACTGATATAAGGGCAGGCAGGGACTGTGTCCTTTTTAATCTAATTGGCAGTCCCTGGCATAGTAGATTCCACCTCATAGACACTAAATAAATTGTGTGACTGAATGAAAAACAAAGACTTAATGTTTGAGAATAGTTCTGCCATCTCCCTGGGTAAGGTGCAAGGCAGAGCAATGAAACCAGTGAAGCTGGAAAATATGCTCAATAAGCATATCCTAATTATCATCATGTTAGGTATAGAGATTATACCTAACATGAGATTATAGCGGGAAAGGTCTAAAGGGGGAAAATGAGCTGAAGGAAAGCAACGATTCACGTTTCTGAAACTCCTCCCAATGTGCCTGCTCAGCTTGGCTTTGGAACTGGAGCATTGCCAACCGGGAGCTCCAAATACTGACCAAATACTATGGCCTCATTCTCCTGTATATTCCTCTGTCTTGGCTTTTTTGCTCTGCAAGGAAGGTAGCTGAGACCTGCTTCGCTTGGCAAATCGTGCAAAGTGGGGTTCTCCACGGGGCCTTGCCTCTTCTCTAGGACAGAACCGAGTGTTGCTGGAGGCTTTATCCCTCCAAAAGGAAAGTGCAATAGAAGCATGCTTGTAAGGAGAGGAATGCAAATGTTGGCACAAAAAGCAGTTGCTTGGGAAATAATAAGTAGAAACCTATGCATATTTTAAAATGTTGGTTATATATTTGGACAGAATCGTCCTTACCAGCTGTGCAAATTGGCTGTAACTACCAATTTGTTTTGACTTTGAGTAGGAATCGGCAACACATTGCCTGACATAACCATGAACTCAAGGTCTAGATGGTTTCACTACAGGTGACTCCAGAACTTGCATAATAACTCATTATTGGTTTGGATGAAATTAGAAACAGTAGAAGCTCTCTTAACCAAGCTCCAATCACCCAATTGACTAGACTACTTGTGGCTCTGCATTCTCCGCGAGATTCCTGGCGGATGCCATGGACTGCTGCGGATTAGTAGGTCTCCCTCTTTAGTGCCCCGTACTTCTGCTCCTGCTACCTCTTGAGTTATAAGTTTGAAATTTTAGAGTCAATTACATTTATCCCCAAGCCTGTTTTATCCAAGTTTTACTTGTTATTGTAACTATGTAATTTAATGAATCTTACATAATATATAAAACATGAGTATAGTGGTTCTATGAAAATAAAATCAAATGCTTTGGAAAGATTCTATAAAAGGGGTTCATTAAGCAAACATGAACGTATACTTATTAATTATATAGAGGAAAAAGTCAAAAACATTTGGGAAAATAAAAATCTAGATGGAGCAAGCATTCTGATTGCATTGAATTTTTAAAATCCTCACCATATTAAAACAAATGAACAAAAAAATCTAAAAGTGGAAATCATAAATCGATTATCATGGGTATAGTTTGGGCAAAGAAACAGGCAACAAGACATGTAACTATAATCTGCAGAATATTCTTAGGAAAGGCCTTGACTTCACTGGTAAGACTGGCAAAATTTTAAATTAAACATTTATATTATGGATATACTAGAGGCCTGGTGCACAAATTCGTGCATGGGTGGGGTCCCTTGGCCTGGTCAGCCATCGGGGCTGACTGGTGCCGCGGGAGGTTGAAGGGGGGATGGGGGGTGGGAGACCACGGGAGGTTGGCCAGCAGGGGAGATGGGGAGGGGCTGCTGGAGATTGGCTGTCTGGCCCTGATCAGGGCCAACCGGGACTAGACAGCGGGGGGGGGGGGGGGGGGGGTGGATGGGGGGGGTGGAGTGGCTGCGGGAGGTTGGCTGGGGGAGGGGACACGGAAGGTTGGCTGTGGGAGCATACTGACCACCAGGGGGCAGCTCCTGTGTTGAGCATCTATCTGCCCGTGGTGGTCAGTGCATGTCATAGCGACCGGTCGACTGGTCATGCTCTCGTTTGGTCGTTCAGTCACTTAGGCTTTTATATATATATAGATATATTTTCCATAATTCCCCACATTTTGCTGACTCTTTCAATTAATGAACTTTTCCCAATAAGCTCTGGTTCTTATCATAATTAGATAAAAGGGCTTCTACTGCAGGGCTACTCGGAGTGTGGTCCTTGGACCATAGCAGCATAATGAGGAAGTTTGCTGGAAATGCAGAATCTCAGGGCCCCATTTGGGAGCAATGCCCAAGAACTGTGTTTCTTTAAAAAAATAATTTTTAATTTTCCTATTACAGTTGACATACAATATTATATTAGTTTCAGTTATACAACATAGCGATTAGACATTTAGGTAACTTATGAAACAATTATTCTGATAATTCTAGTACCCATCTGGCACCATACAGAGTTCGTATAGCATTACTGACGATATTCCCCGTGCTGTACTTCACATTCTGAGTCTACTTTGTAGCTACCAGTTCATGCTTCTAAATCTTTTCCCCGCTTGTCACCCATCCCCCCACCTCTCTCCCATCTAGTAACCACCAAAAAGTTCTCTACGAGTTTGTTTGTTGCTTTTTTAAAAAAATCTTTACCTGAGGATATGTTATTGAATTTTTATTTTTTAGAGAGGGAAGGAGAGAGAGAGAGAGAGAGAGAGAGAGATCAGTTGCCATTGGTACGCAACCTAACTAGGGATTGAACCCACAACCACTTTGGTGTACGGGACAACACTCCAACTAACTGAGCCACCCACCTAGCTGGGACTTGTTTGTTCATTTCTTTTTTAAGACAAGCTCTTTAGGCGATCCTGAGGCCCACTAAGGCTTGATAAGCACTGCTCCAGTGGATGCATATATTGCTGGAAGCACTAAAAATGGACACAGCCCTTTTAGAAAGAAACATGGTAGAAGACTCATCAGGAATCCTAAGATTTCCATCTCAAACTGACTCAGCAATCTTCTAGGGATATTTCCTAATGAAATAGTTCAAAGGATGAACAACTGAATAAAGATATCTATGCCTAAAGATATCCGTGATTGCACTATCCACAATAATAAACAATTAAAAGAAATCTAAGCAAGAAGAGAAGAATGGTAAATAAATTGCAGGCAGTAAATAAAAAATATAGTAAGGGTTTGTAAAATGATAACTGGTTTATAAAATTAAGTAAAAATGTAACATGCACTATGGTTATAATTATGAAATATAACTATCAACTTGAAAATGACTTGTTCCATTGTACTAGGGTGGTACTGGGTGATAATTTAGTTTTCATCTTTAAAGATTACTTAAATACAGTTGTAATAATGGTTCTATAATGACACTATCTTAATGATATCATTTAAAAGCACCATTACTTAAAATTGACACTAAACTCTCAATGCACAATTTAAAGCCCCTTTTAACTATGCAAAACTCCGCTGCAATGTCACCAGCCAGCTGTTGTATGTAAAACATCAAGATCTAATATCCTCTGTGGCAGATGGGCAGTTAGAGACACCAGTTCCAACGGCAAGGCTATCAATACCTGAATTGTCTTCATCTTTGCGGATTTTGAGCTTCACCAGATCTTCGCACTGCTGGAGGATCTGAACGGCGTCTTCCATGGAGCAGTTGTCCAGGCGGATGTTGTCTATTGCAAGCAATTTATCTCCAAGTTCCAGCGTTCCGGTCCTGTTGGCAAATGCATAGCAACACGCTAACGATGATGAGCACGGACCCAGGCCATTTCAGAGGCGTTAGCATCATGCAGCATGATGGTAATCTTAGAGGAAAAGCGGTTCCTCAACTGCTTTTAAATTGAATTTTATTGACAACTCCCCCCGCCCCCATTCCCTAAGTCTTATTTTGGATGGTCGCCATGACAAGAAATCGCAGAGTATTAAAAACAGCTTTTTCTTGTGCTGCCTTCTATAAGCGAGGACAACACTGTCAGCCTCACTCAGGAATTCTAAGGCTCCCAGGAAGGGAGGGAATGTCCGGCCTCCTATGCTTCTCCACGTTGTCGTGCCACTTTGGACCCTTGGCTGTCGCTAGGACAGGGTGGAGGGAGCGAGGGCAGCCAAGGGGGGAGGGACAGAGTGGAGGGCTGAGACGCGGCGCCTCTGCCATTCCCACCTGCGCGGGGAGCTCATGGTGGGGAGAAAAGGTGACTTCCACGCTTGCTATCTGGAGTGTGGCCATGGAGGGCCTAATACTAGCTGTGGACCCCTGTGGGTCTCTGGAAGTTTGTAAGGTCCATCAAGAAATAAGAAAAATGATACGATTGTATATGTGTTTGTGTGTGCGTATATGTATACACATATAATTGTAAATAAGGTTATGTTGTTTTAAAAAACGTATTTTTATTGATTTCAGAGAGGAAGGGAGAGAGAGAAACATCAATGATGAAAGAGAATCATTGATCTGCTGCCTCCTGCACGCCCCCCACTGGGGACCCAGCCCAGGGCATGTGCCCTGACCAGGAATTGAACTGTGACCTCCTGGTTCATAAGCCAATGCTCAACCACTGAGCCACGCTAGCAATAAAGTTATGTTTTGATAAGAACTATCTTTTATGCTTTGGGTCCGCGAAAGAGATTGCTAATTGCTTCCCAGCATCTCTTCTCTCCTTCCTGCTTTGGGATCACGCCCTAGCGATGCACACCCCAGACTCTCTCGGCCCACTCCTACCTCCCTTCTGTGGCTAGAAGATTGCAACACTGAGCAAGCTGTGAGGATGGCGAGCTGCTTCCCAGCCCTGCAGGGCCTGCCCCACTCCCCACGGTTATGTGAGAGACAAACTGCTGCCTTGTTTGATCCACTTTACCTATGAGTCTCTTTGTCACAGTGGAGCCTCTACCTATATACACCGACACTCACACACTGTCCTTACTACCTTTTTTAAAAACAGATTTATGCATTTATTTATTTTTTAAAATACTGATTTCAGAGAGTAAAGGAGAGGGAGAGAGAAACATCAATGATGAGAGAGTATCATTGATCGGCTGCCTCTTGCACACCCCGCACTGGGGATGGAGCCTGCAACCCAGGGATGTGCCCTTGACCGGAATCGAACTCAGGACCCTTCAGGCCACAGGTTGATGCTCTCTATCCACTGAACCAAACCAGCTAGGGACTTACTATTTTTTGAGGGTTAAAATATTTCTTTAATGAAATGGCTGTGATAATAGGTGGGATTTTTTAAAAAGTCCTTAACTGGAAAGTAAAAAAAAAAAACAACACCCCAAAACAGTCTTACAGTAGTGTTCCCCAATCATTTAAAAAATATTTTTGATCCGTGAAACCAAAAGTTTGAGACTTCCTGATTTGGATGGATATGGACCAAATAGGAGATAAAACATAAAGGCTGAATGAAGGACCTGGCTGGGCCAGAAGGACATCCTGGCATCTAGCAAAGCTCTTGCACAAGCTACTGTCTCCACGTGGGGTGTCTGGTGTACCTAAGGCCGCTTTCAGATTTCCAGTTGGAGAATGAAAGATGGAATATGATCAGTGAAGGAGAGCCTCTGTTGGACTCATAAAAGGCCTTACAATACATTTTCAGGCCTGTGCTTTCTGTACTGGGTGCAGAAATAAATCAGCATGCTGAGGAATTTCTACAACAGCACTGACATTGGGAATACCAAATATGACTGATTCATGGCAGCTGCCTGGGATATATTGAAGCTACCACGATCCATTAGCAAGGTCTGCCTAGGGTGTGGCCGGGGTCATTTCTGCTTTACGAAGAAATGCCTTGGAATAAACAGAGAAGACGTTTTCCTTACCTGTGTGCCACACTGCCTTTTTTGATATCTGAAATGACAAGGGGATCTCCCGGTTTTCTACTGGACGGAGCTGTAACAATGAAGATAGAATAGTCACATCTTTATATCCACGATTCACCTACTATACATTTCCTATTTTATAACAACTGTTAATGCAAGTATAATTTGTATGTAAAGCAAAGATGATCAACAAATGAATTAGAAATGTGCACACTACATCTTCTTGATGTAAACATGTTTATATTACCTACACTAATAAAAGAGAAACATGCAAATTAACCATCATTCTGCCACTCCACTACACCCACCAGCCAATCAGAGTGACTATGCAAATTAACCCAACAAAGATGGTGGTTAATTTGCATACACAGGTGCAGAAGGAATCCTGAAGATGACTGAAGATGACTGAAGATGGCGGTGGCCACAGAGCTGGAGAGAGCAGGAGGCCTGGGTTGCTCCCAGTGATGGAGGAAGCCAAGCTTCCCACCGGCCCTGGACTCCGCTCAGGGAGTGGCTGGGGGCCTGGTCACCAGGGGCAACCCCGGCTTCCAGCCTGCCCTGGGCTCCCTTTGAGGAGCTGGAAATAAAAAAAAAAAAAAAAAGGAGGGGCTGGGAGCAGCCGGAATGGAGAAGCCAAGCTCGCTGCTGCAGCCAGACCAAAGGCCTGGGTCCCAGGTGCCAGAGGAAATCCGGTGCTGGCAGCCAGGGGAAGGAAGGCCTATTGCACGAATCTTCATGCAACAGGCCACTAGTAGTATTTATAAACTTAAAAACTAAAGCATAGCCATTTTAAATTTGTAATTGCAGAAAACAATCGGAGAGCTGCCCATCAGATCTAAATCTATTTTTATCTGTGGTTCTCATGAGAGGGAGACGAAGGGTGGATTCTCCACTGGGCAGGTTGCAGGCTCAATCCCCAGTAGGGGGCATGCAGGAGGCAGCTGGTCAATGATTCTCATCACTGATGTTTCTATCTCTCTCTCCCTCTCTAAAATCAATAAAAATATATATTTTAAAAACTCACTGGGGGCTCCTGTTAGTGGTACTCATGTGTGTTCCCTTTTCCGGTCCTTAACGCCTTTCAAGGGAGAGATACCATTGTCATGGAAATGTACTGTACTACTCAAGTGTCCTGGGTGGGAATGTGGATGAGAATCACTGATTTAAAGTTTTTTATTTTCCCAGATGGAAATCTCTTGCTAGATATACTATAAATCTTTAAATTTTGTTTACAAATTCATACCTGGAATGCTCTAAAATATTTTGGAATGTGACTATTTTATTTTATTGACAGTAGTAAATATTTGGTGCTACTTAATTACATTTTTATGCATATTCATAATATAGTCATGTACATATAACCTCTATGGAGTTTACAGATAAAATTATTATCTGGCACAGTAATCAATTTTGAGCTTTATAAATTTTCTTAGGAATATTTCCATTTTATGAGAATGAAAAAAAAACTAGTAATGAGTCTATGTAGAATTAATCTTGAAAATGAACTCTAGTCCTAATAAATTCAAAAATATCATCTTAATTTAAGAATTTAGAAGTATCATTTAATTTAGGCTGATACTTAAAATTAACCATACCAACATTTGTAAAAAAAACGATTTGCTTCCAAGAGGAGATGTTTTGCCAACCTAAGCTTGTAGTGATCATTAAAAGGCCCCTAAAGTAAGATTTTCTTATAAACAGTCTGATCACCCCATAATAATCATAGAACCATATCATAGCCCGTAATCCCATCTGAATCCCAGAAAAATGTTTATGCACAAGAACAGATGGCTTAATATCTGAACACAACATTGAAAGAAAAAGCAAACACATATACCAATACCATACCCACTGTCTAAATTAGTGCATAGGAAATGTTAATGGGACTTCATTCAATCATTATTCTTGGCTTCTAGCAAAGAATGCAAAACATTCTATTCACTACAATTAATTCATAACTCTATCTCCACGCAATGATGTGAAATAATTCCTCTAGAGAAATATACACATCTAGCATTTTTACTTGTGCCATATTTCAGAACAGCAAATTGTTCTGGGCATGGGACACAGAAATAAAAACTTTGTTATTACCAGCAAAAACAACTTTCCAAGCATCTGCCAATGAATTTACACAATATTTTGCCAAGCAGAATCCACCATGACACAACACTCAACATATCTCTTGGTTTTTTTTGTTTGTTTGTTTGTTTTTTTTTAAAAAAAAATCCATGTTCCACTGAAATGATCTGAAACAAAACAATAATAGATGTACCATCAAACCCATCTTTGGGTATCATCTTTGCAACAGGGGAAACAAGCACTGTGACCTCTTGGACAAACCCATGCAGATTTCCAGAGATGTCGGAAACTTCTCATGGTCTACAGACAAGTATGGTGGCCATTCCCACATTTATTAGATACTTCTCTTTCTCCTTTAACCAAGGCCATGCCTGAGGTTTGAAAGGGTCTTCAGGGTGGATGACCATCGGAGGGGTAAACCTGAACCCAGAAGTGGGGCCAAATCTCTATGGGCTGCTGACAGTGTCACTGCCAGGCCCACCAAGCACGTTAAACGTGGCAATGCATGTTCTGGGGACTCTGTCATGGTGTGAACACCCTGGCATCGTATTTCAACTATCCACTCACTACCTGAGAAGAAGTCATACACCAAGCATGCTTTGCAAGGATTGTAGTGCTTTGAGAAAATTTAGTTACCAATATATCAAAATTGTAGATTTCATATAAATGTATAGCTTCTTTAAAAAAATTAGAGGTAATATGGTATAGTGGTTACTGGGACTTGGCAGTCAGAGTGCTTGGGTTTAAAATCCTGGCTCTACCACTTATTAGCCATGTGAGCTTGAGCACGTAGTGTTTAGGCACCTTAGTCTCCTAGTCTGTACAATGGTGATGAAGATAGTAACAGTGCTTGTCTCATACAGTTTCTGTTGTAGGTTGTTCTCACATGTAGAGTGATTGGACCAGAGCACGTGAAATGCCCCTCATAGTGTTTCTTGTTGGTAGGATTTCCCAGCCGCACTGGACTCGTTTTCCCACCTCCCTCCCCTTTAGGTGGAACCTTCCTTCTCCCTTTGTTCGCTTTAAAAAAAATTTTTTTTAAATTTCTTTTAAATATAGTTTACATTCAATAGTATCTTGTATTATTTCAGGTGTTTAGGACAGTGTTTAGACAACCATATACTTTACAAAGTGTTCTCCTCGATATTTCCAGTACCCATCTGGCACCGTACATAGTTATTACAATACTAGAGGCCTGGTGCACAAATTTGTGCACTGGTGGGGTCCCTCTGGGTCGCCTGCCGAGATTGGACCCCAGCTCACGCCCCCAGCCTTGCAGCCCCAGCTCTTGCCCCCAGCCTCACAACCCTACAGCCCCACCTGGCACCCCCATCTTGGCCTGGTGCCGCCACCTCAACTGCTCCACCATCCTGCCTGCAGGGCAATTGATCAAGGCCCATTGGGGCCGGGCCCCCTGCCTGGCTCCCTCAGTGCCTGGTCACCATCTGCGGGGCGATCGGCTGATACCTGCAATGTTCCGTGCCACCCCCTGGTGGTCAGCACACATCATAGCAAGTGGTCAAACTCCCAGTTGAACGACCGCCCCAGGGATAATTTGCCTATTAGGCTTTTATTATATAGGATTATTGACTATGCTGTACTTGACATCCCCACGACTATTTTGTCACTACCAATCTGTACTGCTCAATCCCTTCATCTTTCACCCCATCTCCCAACCGCCCTCCCCTCTGGCAGCCATGAGTCTGTCACTGTTCTCATTGGAAGGATCTCACTCATTAACTGGCCTCACTCCTGAGGGCTTCTGAGAGTGAGACACTTTGAGTGGTGTGGGTCTATTTTCACTCATGACTCATGGACCCATCAATTTGGAAAGCTATATCCATCAATGCGAGGCAATTTTATACAATGATTTGATGCTTCACTTTTCTCTTTCTTTCTGTAATGGTTGTTATTTGAACTTATCCTGTATAATTCCTCTCTATTCTAGATCCCTCATTTACTTTTGTTCCAATTTCTGGAAATTTTCCACAAACTTATTTTCTAATATTTTATTGACTTTTATTTTCATTTCTGCCATATTATTATGTTTCTAAAGCTCTTTGTTCCCCTCTGTATGTTATTTTGCAATAGTACCGGTAATCATTTCCTCCCTCCTATGGATATAATATCTTATGTTGCTAATGATGTTAATGATAGTTTTTTTTCTTAAGTTTTCTTCTTCCTACATGTGCTCTTTCTCTGTTTCTCTTCCTTGTTTTTGGTGACAGTCTTGCATATTAGATTCTCTCCTCAAGTGTCTGTTTTTGTTGTTGTTGTTTTGTTTTTGTTCTTCTTAGTTCTCTGTTTACACTAGAGTGTGACCCAAAACAGCTGAACATTTGGGGCATCTGAGTGGGCTTGTGCACTTTGGTCTTCACTGTATAGTTCAGGCTAGGCTGTTTCTTTGGGTCAGATGGCTCTGATTCTTTCTCTTGTTTGGAGGGTATTAAGCCTGGCTACCCGGTTTCTTTGAACTTGGGGTTCAAAGAGGTGGGGAGGAGACTAGCAGTCTCAACATTCAGTATGTAAACTTTCACCTACTCTGTTTTCAGAGTAGCCATGCCACACTCAGCTGTGCCCCCCAATCCAGAGACCCTTGGTTCCCAGAGACTAAAACTAGGCTTCTGCCAGGGAGGAAAGGGGTGTCTGGCTGTGCTGAGTGGGAGAAGGCATCTAAGGGACTAATTCATTCTTTTCCTTATTGACACTATTAAATATGTCCTCCATTTTCTCCCCCTAATAGACTTCCAACCAATACTCCTGTCATAGCTCTACCATCACTCTCACTTCCAAAAGTTCTGGATTTCCACCATTTCCTGGGTCTCTTGGGAGTTTAGGATATAAATCAGGTTCCCTGCCAGCTTTCTCTTCTGCTTCTTTAAATTCATCTTTCTCCATGTTCTTTGCCGCTTGCAAATTTTGTTGCTGTTGTCTATTTTCCATTTCCTCTTTTCTTTATGGTTTTTGGCTTTTTGAAAAATCTATACTGTC